AACTAACTTTATTTTCTGACTTTCACAAAAGACCAAAAAATAAACGCTTTACATGTATTTTTCAGCAACTTCGTCAAATAATTTTATAGCTTTATCTATCTCATCTACTTCAAACGTTTCTTTACCTTTCGTGGGAGCGAGTATATAAGAATTTCCGAAAAAGTGACACCCAAAAAGTGACACTTTCAATAGGGAGTAGCACTTAAAAAGTGACAATTTAAAATTCACAATAAATAAAAATAATAAATTTTTTAGTCTATTAAATTATTCTTTTCTTTGAAATCCTCTAAAAATTCTTCGAAATGTTCTAAAATATAATCTGGAGAATTATAACAAAATTCATTAATTTCTAACATATACGTATCTAACAATTCATTTGGAATTTCAAACGATCTTAAATATGTAATTGAATTTTGTATCTTCTCATTTATTTGAGAAAGTTTTTCTTCAGCATTTTCCAATAAAAATCTTAATGGATTCAAATTGGCTTCTTGATTCTGAACAAAATTTAATACTTGGTATAAACGTGATTGAACTTCTCTTTTCAATTTTGTTTTATAATATGTCAATCGAGGCTCGCGAATTCTAATTGAAGGAATAAAACCTGTTTGAAGTAAATCGTTTTTAATACGATAAAAGTAATTGGGTGCAACTTCTTCTAAAAGATTTTTGACAAAAACATCAATTCTTTGATTTTTAACGCAGCCAAAATCGTGATATTTTATCTTTTTAAATAAAGATTCAGAAACGTTATTCACAACGGTTAATTCATTTGGTCTGGCAGCGGCTATCCACATCATAGCCAACAATTCCTTATACAAAATTCAAAAACTTGGGTGCAATCAGTTCTGATTGCACCCAAGTTTTTGAACTTTCTTGAGGGAATGGAAGAGTAAGAGGTATACATTATGAATATATACCTCTTACCCTTCCATTCCCTCTCTGACAGCGGGAAACTTTGTCTGAATGTTAAACTATTCAGACAAAGTTTCCCACTGTTTGCGAAGGAATTGTTGGCTATGATGTACTGATCATGAATCAGTACATCATAGCCAACAATTCCTTATATAAGTTCAAAAACTTGGGTGCAATCAGTTCTGATTGCACCCAAGTTTTTGAACTTTCTTGAGGGAATGGAAGAGTAAGAGGTATACATTATGAATATATACCTCTTACCCTTCCATTCCCTCTCTGACAGCGGGAAACTTTGTCTGAATGTTAAACTATTCAGACAAAGTTTCCCACTGTTTGCGAAGGAATTGTTGGCTATGATGTACTGATCATGAATCAGTACATCATAGCCAACAATTCCTTATATAAAGTTCAAAAACTTGGGTGCAATCAGTTCTGATTGCACCCAAGTTTTTGAACTTTCTTGAGGGAATGGAAGAGTAAGAGGTATACATTATGAATATATACCTCTTACCCTTCCATTCCCTCTCTGACAGCGGGAAACTTTGTCTGAATGTTAAACTATTCAGACAAAGTTTCCCACTGTTTGCGAAGGAATTGTTGGCTATGATGTACTGATCATGAATCAGTACATCATAGCCAACAATTCCTTATATAAAGTTCAAAAACTTGGGTGCAATCAGTTCTGATTGCACCCAAGTTTTTGAACTTTCTTGAGGGAATGGAAGAGTAAGAGGTATACATTATGAATATATACCTCTTACCCTTCCATTCCCTCTCTGACAGCGGGAAACTTTGTCTGAATGTTAAACTATTCAGACAAAGTTTCCCACTGTTTGCGAAGGAATTGTTGGCTATGATGTACTGATCATGAATCAGTACATCATAGCCAACAATTCCTTATATAAAGTTCAAAACTTGGGTGCAATCAGTTCTGATTGCACCCAAGTTTTTGAACTTTCTTGAGGGAATGGAAGAGTAAGAGGTATACATTATGAATATATCCTCTTACCCTTCCATTCCCTCTCTGACAGCGGGAAACTTTGTCTGAATGTTAAACTATTCAGACAAAGTTTCCCGCTGTCAGCGAAAGAATTGTTCCATCTGGTGCATAGAGTGCGAATCTATGCACCAAATGGAGCAAGTCCCTCGCGAAATTGCCAAACTTGCGTCGCATTTCAAAGATTGCGACCCAAATTTTGGCGATTTCTAGTAGAGATGGAGTATTTTGAGTCACTGACCTATATGCAGTGGCTCAAAGGGCTCCATCTCTACTTTGAAGCAAGGAAACTTTCCTCGAAATTTTGATAATTTGAAGAAAGTTTTCAAGCAATTAACAAAGGATTACTCGCTATGAGGTAAAAATTCTAGATTTTCACCTCATAGCGAGAGCTTCCCTTTCATTGCTTGAAAACTTTCCCCAGCTTCAAAATTGGGGAAAGGGCTGTAAAGTCGACTCCGATACCAGCAGGTACCAGAGTATTTAAAAGAGAAGCCCTCGTACGAGTTTCTATGAAGACCTTCTCATTCAAGAAGATCTTAATAGAAAATCGTACGAGGGCATTGGAAACTCGCGTCTGGTACATGTTGGTACCAGAGTGTTTGAGATTTGAAGACTCTGGTACTAACATGTACCAGAATTTATGATGAATTTAAGATGGACCATTATAAAATGGTAGCGGTTTGTTTCAAAAAATTTTAGATGAGATTTGCAGAGATATAGATTATATGATTTATACATATGAAAAATAATATATAAAAATATAATTTTGAGATAATTATGTAAATAATATTTTAAATATTTGAATTTGAGGTATAATTTTATAGTAAAATATATTATAAAGAGTATTTATATAAATATTGTAAAATAATATAAGTAATAAAAATTGAGACCCGCTCCCTGTTTTTGATGTTTTGTCACTTTTTCGGTAATTCTTATTGTTTCTTTTTCAGCAACTTCGTCAAATAATTTTATAGCTTTATCTATCTCATCTACTTCAAACGTTTCTTTACCTTTCGTGGGAGCACCATACATTTTCTCAAAAACTTCAAGCAGTTCTGTTTCAGCAGCTTTCATATCATTAACGAACACAACCTTGACTCTATTGACTGTACTGTCATATCTTTGAGTTATATTATATGTCCTTCCTATCTTATATCTTTTTGTGTTGAAGTCCTTCGGTTTCTGAACGATGTAAAGTAAGCCTTCACTGCAACGTTCCGTATCGAATGAACCATATGTTATGAAGTTATATCCAACAACTGGGTCTAACCATAACAAAACTATTGGTATAAGACTTTTGTCTATAAGATATGCTCTTGTTCCATGAAATGCTACTGATATCATGAGCTCAGGATTTCTTGTCAAAATTTTCTGAGTAGAAGCAATTCTAACCCAGTCCTTTGTTTTCTTTCCAGAAGGTGTTATAATGTCTGACAAAGAATATTTGTTGTATTTCTTTGAGTATCTTACGTTTAAATCACCAATTCTAACCACTTTGGTGTCATTGTCAATCTTTCTAACTGTTTCAAACTCAATGTTTGTCATTACTGTCTTTACATACAAGATAAAAAAATAAATAAAAATAAAACTAACTTTATTTTATCTTTTATGAAAATTCATGAAATTTGGTCATTTTTCAGCAAAAATAATGTTTAGGTGAAGAGGTGAGATCTCACCCGTTTTCTCACCTGTTTTCTCACCTGTTTTTTCACAAGCGTTTTACATGAATTGTACGATGTATATTTGAAATCCTAAACAGTTTCGTAGCTTCTATTTCTTCTTTTAGCACATCGAATGTTTTAACGATACCGAAAGTTTCTTTATACTTCTTCTTGACGTCAGATAGAAGGAAATCTTCTGCTGTTGAATAGTTTTTATTAAGAAATGTCAACATATCCATTTTATCTTCTGCTGGCTTTTCTGCTTCTTTCTTTAAGTCTGCATAGTCGTTTCGCATTCTTTCTATCTCTTTGACTGAGTAGTTATATTTTCTTATTGCTGCTTTACATTTTGAACATTGCGGCATCGTTTTTGCGTTATACATTGAAATAAAACCAGCTAGAACAACTAAGGCGTCAATGGTTTTCTTTAACTCAAAAGCTGCTGGTTTTATCTGTTCATTCCATACTTTACCTCTTCTATCTTTATCTCTTATCTGCCATACACATTCTGCAATTAATGAAACAAAGTTGTCGTATGTCTTAAATTCTTCGGATTTGTAAAGGTCAGAAATATTTTTATAAACCATGTCGCAATCTTTGTCCATAACTTTATGGTTGCAATGATATCCTAGAAACTCATAGTTTACCTTTCGTATGAACTTCTTTATTTCTACTGAGTCAGTTGCTTTGACTTCAATTTCGTCAAATTCGGGAATGGTTAGTTTTTGTTGCTGAATTTCAGGTAGTTTAGGTAAATGGTCGATGAGGTCCTGCATGTCATAAAGATATTCTTCATTTTCTTCATCCTGTGCGGTACAGTCTAAATTACTTGTTAACAGTTCTTGCTTTATCTTCTGGATTTTTGTTTCGAAAGTATATGAAGAAGGAATGAAGTTTTTCATTTCTACTAACATTGACGTAGGATTCATAACTAACGAGTTTGGTGCTGTTGCGGACAGAGTCCTGCCGTTCGCGGCTTGAATTGCTGTTGTGCCGATTGTTGAAATCATATCTTTACATACAAAATAAAAAATAAATAAAAATAAAACTAACTTTATTTTTTCTATCTTAAGGAAATTCATGAAAATTCATGAAAGTGAAAAAAGAGGTGAAAAAACGGGTGAGATCTCACCTCTTCACCTCAACATTATTTTTGGTGTAAATTTATGACAAAAATAAATGGTACCATTAATGATATCATGACTGTTCTCATTCATGTCTGATTTACATCTAATGAAAAAGTTTAAAAGAATTTTCTTATTCTTTCTGGCTTATTTTTGTCTTTCCAGTACTCCCGCTCTAATGGTCCCAGATGTGTTGTCTTTGACTCTCTCAAGTTCTTAGATGGTATAACATCTTCAACGCCTCCTTCATATCTTACTTTATAAGTGTCATCGTTTATGTTATAGCCAAGTATTTCAATACTAACTGCAAACCGTCGAGTTTGGATCAAATGCTGTAGTTGGTGCAGGAATATTAATGATATAAGTCATTAAATCATTAAGTGACGTAAATAATGTTGTCGTTTTTGATTTAATTTCTTTAGCATCTGTTATATACGGTAATTTTATTTCTGTAGTTTCTGAATTAAAGATATTCGCTAAAATGTTTTGTAAACTGTTTTGAACAGCTGTGTAAACCGTTGAATCCGGAACTCTTACGATTTCACCGTCCTTAATAAAAGGCATTGCACATGGTGTAGTGCTTGGGTCAAATCTTTTTGGGTTATGATTCAACATATATTCTAATGCTTCATAAACAGACCTATATACGGTTGTATTATCTTTTTCAATAATTTCACCGTCCTTAATAAAAGGCATTGCACATGGAGTTAAAATAGGGTCAAACTTTTCATAGTCCTTCCATGTTATGTATTTCTCAGTATTTCCATCAGAAATAACAATATATTTGTCAGTAAGTGTGAGAGAGTATTGACCAAAATATAAACGTTTAGCTCTGTCAGCTTCATACGCATATGCAGCTATACTCATATTTTAATGAGAATAAAATGTTGTTCTATTTGCAAAGTACAGACCCAAACGAATACGAGACAGTAAAGCTACAAACAAACTTAGGTCTACAGAATGAGGCGCTTGCATTCAGAATGGTTGACTTCAATACTATCGCTTCATTCGTTATAACAGATGAAACAGATTTCATGGAGATTGAAATAGATGGAAAGAAGCACGAAATAAGATTTCACAATAATGTAGAATATAAGATGGAAACATTAGCTGGAGTGTTAAATGCTCTCATAAATACTACAATAAACAAGGATAACGAAGAAAACTTAATGAATGTTAAACTTATTGCAGGAGTTTTGAAGTTCAGTTATGTGAAGGAGTTTAAGATACCAAGAATGAGTCATAGAGTTCAATTGCTTTTAGGAGCATACCATATGACATTTCCTTTAAAAAGTGTTGACAAAACGATTGAGATGAAATCTGTTCCATACGTATGTTATGGTAATTGTTTATACATTGAGTCTAAAATAGCTAATGTCACAGGCATTTCAGGAGTTAATAGTAAAGGTTCAGTAGAATATAAATCCTTCTGTTATGCAGTCAATTCAATGTTCATTCCAAACGTTCCTGTCATAGCAACTCATTTAGGTAAATGGGTTCGCATTAGTCCTCATAATTTGAAAGACATGCAATTCAGACTTGTTGACTTTCAAGGAGAGCCTGTAGAACTGAAGGCACCAGTGCGAATGACTGTTGAAGTTGACTTTTTAGAAAATATTAAATGCAACAGCTTACAAGAGAACTCAGAGCTAAAAATATAAAGTATGAATGTTATGTATTAGGTCATGAACTTTGGTTGTTGCTGTTTGATGAAACAAATGAATTAGTTATGTCAGTCAAGAGAACAGAAAAATATTGTGTTAGTGAAAACTGCACCAAGTCAATAAGATTAGGTTTGCATTATGAAGATGAGTTCGATACTGTTGAAGAAGTTTTGGATAGATATTACAAATTGCTTTAATTTACTAAAACATATTTCAAGCAAAGTTTATATTCTGTTGAAAGTTTTGTATACTCGTTCGAATATTTATACTTAAACTCAACTCCTGTAGTTCCTGGTGTTTCAATGATGCGGATGTTACCTATTTTCATGAATGGTGGCGTTTGACCACAGCATTCGATTTCAGGGTCGAGATAGTCAATGACACATTGTTTCCCTGTTATTCGTGATATAACATTTTCAAGGTCCTCCTTTGTTAGAATTATTTGGTTCTTGCTTATAAGATTTACCAAAAGCTTCTTATCGTCTTTGAGTAAAATTGTTTGATATAACTGAAGAAGGTAATGGTCTACGTTATTTGAAGGATTCGTTTGAATGTTTGTGTAAGGGTTGTCGTTGGCTTCTCTTGAAAGAATTTGGTCTAATGGTGGATACTCTAACTTAACATCTGATGTAGCGTTTGCACTTGAAGCTGAGTTTAAATTCACGGATTTCAGTTCTGGTTCTTTTTCTTTCAAACACTCCGAACTATAGTTCTTTATGACAATATTGTTTGTCGTTCGTGAGTCAACATTTGATGTTGGTTCAATTGGAACATTAACGGCACCAGCTAAGATGGATTTGCTTCTCATTTCATATAGAATAAAAACCTTTTATATGTATGAAATGAACAATATACTCGACAAGGGTTTGAATGTAAAGCTAACGAATGAAAATATTGTTGAATTCACTGAGACAGGTGCTGTGTATAAAGATGTAGAACTACTGAACAAAAGAGCAAAGGGAAGAAGCAGGAATATGAACAAAGGGTGGAAGCCTATAAAAATTTATGTCAATGATGGCTCAGGAGGTTCAAACATAAAGTATGCAGAAAGTTATAGAGTTTATGCTCTCAAAGGTGAAAAGCCTTCATTTAAGAACAGCTATTCTAACGCATATCCTCAAAAGCTAACGGATGGGGAAGTGGATGATATGAATGACAGCAAAAATATTAACAGAAATGGCGACAGAGATGCATGGAATTTGTTTACCATCAGTCAATTGAAGGTTAAACTTTAAAACAATGTTGGTCGTTCCCATGGAATATTTTTGACTTTAATGGTATAGGGTGTCCAAAGGTGCGTTTAGCACAGCGCTCTATATGAGACTATTAAAGGAGATATATGCTGATTATAAATATATAATAAAAAATATGAATATATGTATATGATGAGTATGTTGTATTTTGGCGCCATGCCGGGATATAAAATGAATTTTGAGACAAGAGGCGGTTTCGCGGGAAATTTTGGCGGGATTTTTTTCATTTTTTTAATGAATCATAAAGAAAACATCCTCGCTCTTGCAAAAAAATGCAAAGACTGTAAAAAATCTACGAGACATTGGTAAAATGCTTCGGTATGGATGCTCCTAGCTATTCCACTGTAACGTATCATGTTAGGATGTATCACTTCATGAACAAAAAGGCGCCCATCATAAAAATTGACAAAAAATCGCCGGATCAAAGAAAAATCAAAGCAATTCTTCAAGCGCTAGATGAAGACCCAAGAGCATCACTCAGAAGGATAGAGGAGATGACAAAGATACCACGTACAACAGTCAGTTATTATCTGCACAATTATTTGAACTACAAACTAGCGTATACACGTTGGGTTCCGCACAACCTTAATTCAGTTCAAAAAAAATCTAGAGTCCAATCTTCGAAAGAGCTCCTCTCTATATTGGGTGCGTATCAATCCAAGAAGTTTCGCTTTTTAGTAACAGGGGACGAGTCTTGGTTTCAATATGCAACAGAAGCCAAAATCATGTGGATCCCGAAGGATGAAAATCCGCAAACATTCCCGAAGAAAAAAATTGACACACCAATGATGATGTTGTCGGTTTTTTGGGGCGTGAATGGCATCATCGCAATTGATATTCTTCAAAAACCTAATACGATGAATGCTCAGTATCTAATTGACAATGTTCTTACTCAAATTATCAATTCTGATGAGTTTGAAAAATTCAAACAACAAAACAAAAGTTTGCAATTCATTTTGATAATTCAAGAGTTCACAAAAGTCATAAGGTAATGAATTACTTGGTGGAAAACAATGTCAAAGTTGTTCCAAACCCATTTTATTCACCTGATATTGCCCCCTCTGACTTTTATTTATTCGGCACGCTAAAAAAGAGAGCTGAAGGACGCGAATTCGCGAGTCCAGATGATCTTGAAAATTTTGTAAGAGAGCAATTTGAGCAATTTTCTCATGATGATTTAAAGCGTGTCTTTCAAGCCTGGATCGATCGCTGCGAACGCGTGATTGAATCCAATGGTGATTATATTTAAATAAACTTTATATATATGTAACTTGTTTATTTCTATTCGCAGTATTCAGGTTTGTGCTAAACACACCTTTGGACACCCTATATTAGTCATGATATGAATCTCAAGGTATGAACGAGGAGAGATGAGAGACTTATATGCTTCCCAAATTTCTTCAAAAGGTAATGTTATACCTGATTGTTTCCAAATGAGTTCAATGTCATAGCGTGAGAAACCTTGAAAGATAACGAAGTCAGTTATGAGACGTTTTATGTTTAAAGCTAAAAACCTCCATGTTTGCATAAGTATTGCTACAGTTAAGTGGTAATGTCTGACTTTAGTAATGATGTTAGCTAATGGTGAGTCTGGTTTTGACACTAAACCTTTACCAGCGAAGTCGTCACAAACTAATAAAGTGTTTGAAGGATATTTTTTGAAGGGGTATTTTGAAAGTTTTGATAGAATGTAGTTTGTCAGTCGTTTCATATCGTAAACTCCTGAGTACTGACGTAAGTGGTGTTTGTCAATAATTCTTTCCATCTCCTCAGAAGTCTTTTGCATTCCTGACTGTATAAATTCAACGATGGCATAATATTTCCTCTTACGTCGAATGTAACGTTGAAGAAATTCAATGAGTTCACTGTCTGGAACTTTAACGACAGAGGCTTGAACTTTTGACATAAATGTTTTCGCTGTTGAGTCCATAGAGTCTGAAATTGCTGATATAATGATTTGGTCATAATATGAGTCATTTCCTAAACGTTCTGTTATGAGTATATGACGAATGAGGTTAAATGTCTTACCTGAACCCATCTTTCCACAATAGAAATACACACCATTTGAACAGAATTCATAATCTTTGCTGAAAGGAAGAATAAGAGAAGAGTTAAGTTTGTCTGTAGTTTCATTCATGTCTTCATCTACGTCATGTATTAAATGCTTCATTTTATCTCCATTAAAAATGCAAGTCAGAAATATTCAGAACATAGCACCGAGTCTAACTGACAAGAGTATAAAGATATACTATGAACATGTTATGATGAAACCAACCAAAATTCAAGAAAGTCAGTATACTTATGAATATCCAAGACACTGGGTAGAGTATGTAGGAGGTGAGAAAGCTATTGAAATCAGACAGGTTCGAAGTATTCCAGCAGGAAGAACAATATTATTGAAGAATTTTAATGTTTTGAGGTATAATGATGAAACAAAGAAGCAAGATAGTTTTCCTGTTGCTGTGTATGTGAACTTAGATACAGGAGATGACATGAAAGTTTTTAATACAAAACTTCAAACGGTAGTGAGAGAACAACTGACTGCGGAAGGACATCTATTACCTTCAGAAGTTACCATAGCATATAATTTTGAAACAAACTCAATAGATTTTAAAGTCATCTCTGCAAAGAAGTCAGGATTTACATTTAATGAAGCAGATGTATATTCGAATGAAAATTTCAAAGCTATTGCATGGTTAGATAATGACGATTGCTTTAAGAAAATATTTAAATTCAGTGACTCAAAGATGTCAATAGATGACCTTCGTGGAATGTTACCATCGACGTTTACAGTAGAAGGTTCAGCAGGATTGCTTACAAGATTGTCAATTGGTGGTATTTGGTCTCGTGAGAACATTGTTATAAAATCCAGTATAAGTGAATTTGCTGAAGAATCTATATTATGTCTTTCAAACTACATGTATTCGCCGCCGAAGCATTATAGTATAACAAACTTTGTCAGTAAGTTTAACATAAGACTTGTCGAACCTTCTTCAATGAAAGATGTTGTGCTACCTAAAGATGGAAAGGATGGACTCATTATTGAAATGATTTTAATAGCATATTAAATGAGCTTGTTCTTGAAGGTCATTCATGATGAAATAACTGTTGTAGAAGATGTTAGCAATTGTTCAGACATTTTGAAGCGTATAGATGATATAAGAAAGAAGTTAGATAGACCGCAAAGTGGTGAGGGCGAAGCCCGTGAGAACGCTTATGTTTCATTGACTTTCTCCAGTAACGAGAATTTTTATGAGATAATATTGAAGAGAGATGATTTTAATATGGTGTAAATGGTAGCTTGGGCAGCTTTAGGCGCAATGGGAACAAAAGCATTAGCATTTGGAGCAAAAGCACTTGGAGCTTATGACGCAGTAAATAAAATGAGTGGAGGAAGGGTTTCGAAGACATTAGATGCAAATAAAGGGAAGATTGGAGGCTGGGTTGCAAAGAAGTTAAGATTAAATAAAATAGGGCTCATAAATAAAGCATCCAATTTGGTTGCGACTGAGTCAGAAAATGCTTTAGGAAAGGACGATGAGTTTGCAAAACACGCAAAAGACTTTAATGACCAGATGAAAGGTGAAACAATGCATTTAAATAGAGTCGATGGAACTAAAGAAAATGTTTCTTCTCCACCAGCGGTTTATCCATACGGACCTTATGGAATGTATGGAAACCCTTACGAAAGACCATTTGACCCATTGACTGGTGGAAGTAACTGGTATCATTACGGACGAAGAAGAAAGACAGTCAAGTTGGAGACAGACGTGAAGAAAGCAACTAAAAAGAAACCAAGGAAGAGAGTTATAAAGCAATGAATTCAACAGGGTGAAAAAACAGGTGAAAAAAGAGGTGAGATCTCACCACTTCACCTAAATTTATTTTTGGGCTATGTTTTCATACGTGTGAGGGTGGTGATATCATTAATTTTTAAGTTTATTTTTTATTTTATTTTATATAAATGACAGAACAAAAGCAACTCATTCGAATTCCACAGTATAACAAACATACATTTAAACATTTATTCTTCCTTCCTGAGCATAACATGTTCTTTCAAATACATCCGAGACCAGTTGACTATACATTGACTGTGTATAAAGATAGAAATAGTTATATCATTAAACCATACGATGACGAAGGTAAGTTATGTAAATTGTACGTTAAGAAGTTAGAGAAAGTTTATGGCTTCAAGTATGACTACAATAGGGTTAACACTGATGATGAAGATATTGAGGAAAATTTATGAGAACATTAGTGAAGTCGTTAGTGAGAATGATAGTGAGAACGTTTATTTTTTGCATTAGTGAGCTCGTTAGTGAAAATGTTAGTGAAGTCGTTAGTGAAGTCATTAGTGAAGTCATTAGTGAAGTCAGACGGTTTTGTAAATATTTAAGGTTAAGTTGGGTAAGGTGGAACGCAGTGCCGCCGTACCCAAGATAACCATACTAACTACCTTCACGGTAATGTTTCTTTTCCATTTTTTGCCATATTGGATGATATGACACGTAAAGTTCTCAAAACTAAATTATTGAAAAACAAGTCTTCCAACTCAACAGCGAAGGTTTTAAGAAAACTTTTAGAGGAGTTTATTCCTTACTGCATCTGGAACGATAACGGCGGTGAAAACCGCGGTGAATTCGGCCAGGTTATGCAGGAAAACGGAATGGTTTGGAAGCACACCTTGCCGTATATGCCAAGACAGAACGGCAAGGTGGAGCGCCTGTGGCCAAGCTTAGAAAAGTTTTTGCCAGACGAGTTGGATGATATTCAACAAATCAAGGACTCAGTTCAGCAGTTCATTGAAAAATTTAACAATACACCACATTTATCTCTCGATATTAATCCAAAAACGAATAGTAATTACACTCCTAACGAATTATTCGAAGTTTCAAAATTTTGGTACGAGCCAGAAATGCAAAAATGGGAGTTATATATCAAAGACGAATGGGTCTTAGCAAAATTTGAATAATTACATCATTTTAAATGACTACTAAACGATTTTATTTATGATCAAATTTTATATATTTTTTGGATCAAATCCATTTTAATAGAATTTATATACTATTCATCTATTAGTAAACACTACCGTATATTATTTTTTAAGCTATCTTATTTTTTGAACTTTTATTCAAATCTTTGGTCGCAAGAAGAATTGCATGATAAATAAAAACATTTAATCAAAGTCAATTTTATTTTTCATATTCAAATGGACTGAGTGTTAACATTTAACATTTTTTGCTAATTGTCGTCAAAAATTAGGCGTAAAGCAAAAATTGATATTTCATATGGTTTTATGATAGATAAGCATTATATTCACACTCATTATATTCGTAAATTTTGAGGTTTATCCTTCGCTTTTAAGATCATTGAATTTGATTTTTATATAAAATAGTTATATATTAGAAAATAATATGAGTTTATATGATATTATTTTTCAGAAGATTTTGTGTTCTACTTCAAAATTTTATTTTTTATTAAAAAGAATCTTTACAAAATATACATTTACTTTAATTAATATTTAAAAACGTGCTCTATCAAAAGTTCCAAAAATTCAATATTTTAGCTTTTCTGAGGTGTCACTTTTGATGAATTTCTGTTTACAACAAATCGTGATTAAAAAAATTGGTTGCGGTTTTTCCTAATCAAAAAACCAATTTTCGAATTAAAAAGTTGATTTTCTAAAACCCCATTAATGCTAAAAATTTTGGCATACACTCTTCACGACATGGATCGTGTAAGTCGGATTTTCCAAAGAAATAATTATCTTGGTAATTTGATTAAGTCTTTGACAAAACAACGCCAAATATTGCTAATATAGTATTTTTAACTTGTTGGAAATGTATTTATGCATAAATAAATTTTTATAATTACAAATTCTAAATAATAAACAATATTTATCTACATAGGATGCTATTTTGAGAAAATGTATTGTTATAAACAGACTTTATTGAATTGTTATTCCTTAATGGATATTATTTTCACGAAATATCAAATATCGATAATCAAAGTTAATAAGTATCCTTTTCTATTTATTTATATGCATTATTCTATATATATACAGGTATATATTGAAGTATTAATGGAAATTTGATCTAAAGATCCAGAAAATTATGAGGCAGTATATATGTACAGCTGCATTATTAAGGTTCTCTATGTATGAACATTAATTGTCGAAAGAAGTTTAGCTTAGATATGATGGTTAGAGTTAATACACTTCTCAAAGTTGGAAGATATACCTTTTCTTTTAGATAAAATGTCAAGGTATATTGAGAAAGTTAAGAAAGTAACAAAATCAGATTTTTTAAAAAAATTGTGGGGGTTAGATACGTTATTAATAACAAAATGACTCTTCCTCTTCTTCCGGGTCACACATTCCCTGACCCAACACAAACACGTTTCCACAAGAGCCAAGCTCTTGTTTTTGAGAATGGTGGCATGGCTATTCACGAGAATGCTCCAGGTATCGGCGGCACACTACTTCCAGGACAGTTACCACCAAAAGAAGCCATCAGCAGCACAACAATATACAATCAAGCTATGGGCGACAGCAACCAGGAAGGAGAAACAGTTCCTGCTTGGGTTGCATTTGGTTCACAAGTTTTACGTTTTTACGGCTACTTCAAGGAACCTGTTTTCAGCAGTCAGGAGGAGACATATCGCGTTCGCAAAGTTAAAATCTTATTCTTCTTAGAGGATGATACCATCGAAATTGTCGAACCACGCGTTAAGAACAGCGGTATTCCACAAGGTACATTCCTTCGCCGTCACCGTGCCAAGAAGGACGATGATAGCTATGTTAATGTTGGCGACTTTCACATTGGCGAAGAATTTTCACTTTACGGTCGTGTTTACTTCATTCAGGAAGCAGACAAATTCACACACGAATTCTTGGACAAACTTAATCGCGACGGCCGTACAGACGAAACTATTCCAGACGATCCATACATCCAAAAGCGCACACTTGTTGAATACAACGAAACACATCGAAACAGAGGTGTTCCTAAGCCAGAGATGCTTAAGCTCCGCCAGTTCCTTGCCAACGATGGTCATGTTCTTCGTTTCTACGCTACATGGGATAACCGCGACCGTCCATTTGGCGATTTGCGTCAGTTTGTTATTCACTACTACTTATCTGATGATACTATGGAAGTTCTTGAAGTTCGTCACCAAAATGATGGTCGTGATCCAGTTCCATCCTTTGTCAAACGTGGCCAAATTCCAAAGCGTCTTCTTTCACTCAGCGAGAATGATCCACGTTTCCTTCCAGCTGAGAACTACTTCCGACCAACAGATCTTCACATTGGCGACGACATCCAGATTCTTGGCCGCACAATGCACATCTTCGACTGCGATCCATACACACGCAACTGGTACATCGAGAACATGGGCTACAGTGCAGAAGAAATGTCACCTGTTGCACATGAAACAGTCGAAGACAAGCCAACACAAGTCAAATTCGAAGTTCCACCTCCATCTCTTATTGGCAGTGATGAAGACACGCTTAGATCATGCATCTCCCTTCATCCAAAGCCAGCACCAAAGGACCAAGTCAAACTTCTCAAGCACAGCAACGATATTCTTCGTTTCAAGTGCCACATGGTCACTCGCAACAGCGTTGATGCAAGCCGCAGCTTCATTCTCACATACTTCATGGCTGATGACACAATCCAAGTCTTCGAACCACCTGCTCGTAACAGCGGAATCATTGCAGGTAAATGGCTTCAACGCACTAAACTCACTAATCCAGATACAGGAAAGCCATTCCAAGCCAGCGATTTCGAGATTGGAAAAGTCCTTACAATCAACTGCAGCAAGTTCCAACTTGATGAAGCTACTGAGTACGCGCTTTCATTCATGGAAGCAGATCCAGACAGCTTCCCACAGGCAGACTTGAACCGCATTGTTACAGATTTCCGCGCAGGTCTTAAGCAGAGTGGAAAAGATGCAACTGATTTGTTCAAGAAGTTCGCTAGTAACAACAAGATCGATGTTAAAGGTCTTCAGTCTATCTTCGAGGCTATTGGTCTTAGCATCAATGTTCATGAAGCTATCACAATCTTCCGCCGCTACAGCACTGAATCAAAACCAACGTCACTTAATATTCGCGACTATTTGTCATTTGCCCAATAAATTTCTTTTTTATGCTTTTTTTGAATTAAACATTTATTATTATATTATTATCAAATTAATTGATCTTCTTTTCTTTAATTTTATTATGCCTTAGTCATTCTATGTATGTGCAGCGAGGAAAAGTTCTCTTGAGGGCATTATTTTTTGAATTTTCATAGGCAAATGATATGAAACATGGTATTCGAATGGTCTTGGACTTAAGGTCCGAGGCCAGTGCACAAAGTCAACAGGCCATTGTGGTGGTGCTCTTTATTTCGACCAAAAGAAAGACCAAATAAATGGTTTCTACAATTAGTATTCTTTATTTATATTTTCAAGACTTAATTTTGATATTTTTAATCTACATGTATCAAACTTTATAAAGTATAATCTTTGAGTCATGACTATCTGAAATTGAGAAGATGTAATCTTTCGGAATTTTTTTGAATACTTGTTATCACTTCACTTATTTATAATGTCGTGGAGCGATCAGCTTGTCCAACTCAAGACAGAATCAACTGGCTGCGCCATCATCACACAGCAGGGTGCCCTTTGCGCTAAGGAAGGCACATGGAAGGCCACACAGGATGAACTCCTTAAGTACATCACATACTTCACAGAACCATCCCCAGCTCTCTCTGGCCTTTACTTTGGTGGCGAGAAGTACATCTGCAACCAGGCTAACACAGAGATGGTCTTCGCTATGAAGGCCAAGCAGGCTGTTGTCCTCCAGAAGACAAAGACACTCATCATCGCCGGCTACACAGATGGCCAGTTCCATCCAGCTGCCCTCTCTGCCTCCGTCGGCAAGGTTGCTCAGTATCTTACATCCTCCAACCTCTAAAGAGTTTCTACGGAAAGAATATTAAGCAATTTTAACTTTTTTTACTTTACAAGTATTTTTTACTATCATGGTATTGCTTTACTTCATTGGCGAAGTAATTTTCTTTATGAGAAAGTTTATCTTGGTATTTGGTCCGATTCAATTTCGTTGTTTGAGGTACCAGGATCTATTATAATTAATTCACGTAGGATAAATTACTTGTGAGTTAAATATTATCACATATATTCAATGCTTTTTCCTTATATGAATGTCAATTATTTAAAATACTCAGTTTTGAATGACTGTGATAACAAAAACATTACTAAGTCAATCCAATGCTACTAAAATTTGTGTATTTGCAAGAAGCTAAATACAATTTCGAACATTTCTATTAACCAAAAGACGGCTTTTTCTTTAAAAAAATGTTTTTATGCGTATTATCATTCATTCTTGAAGGAAAAAAACATTTAGAAATGATGGCAATCAATCTTCTAAAATCGAATCAAATCAAAAACTATTGAAGTAAGCTCTGATTTCTTGGTATTTAAACATTAACACTTCAATAAAGTAATTTGTTATAGTATAACTCTTTTTTATTCCTTCATTGTCTCTTTTGGCGATTTCTTGAATTTTTATTTTTTTTTCAAGATGGAAGAGGAAGATTACTTTTTTGCTGAAGAAGAAGCGGAAGAAGACGTTTATGTAGAAAGTGACAAACGAAAGGGCTTAGAACCTTTGAGAATTGCTGAAATTCGAACAATAATGGAACAAGAAATTAAATTTGGACTCAATAATCAAACATATAGTCAAGAAAAGGCACCTGAAATTGCAAAAATAGTTTCTAATAATGTTTTAACAAGAATACAAGACTTTGGAGCACCAAATTGGAAATATTTAACAAATTCTATTATTTTACCAAAAAATCAAACAGATATTGATTGCTATAGTGTTAATTTATGGGATGATGACGATGACTATATAGTTGTTTCACAAACAAACGATACAATTCGTTATACAATGACTTTATGGGGTATTTCATGCGAGATTTAACCAAAGAAATACATAATTTAAAGTATATAACTCGAAATTGTTACAAATTTGATTAATATCAATTAAATTATTCAAGATCTGTTCACTAATGTCATGATTTTGATCGCAGTTAATTTCTATGCGATCTTCTCATTGAACGTTTGAGATTTGAATGAATTAATTTACAATGATACATAAAACAAATTGATTTAATCCACGTGACAGAACACGGCCTGAATTTGATCATGAAGTTATCAAATCCAGATACCTAATCTATTTTATTTAACAAATTACAAATAAAATTTTATTTTGAACATTTTATCGGCAATATAGGCTGAACAAGATTAGTTTGATATTACAATGAGATCAACATAATGTAATTTTCATAAAATGTATTTGTTTTTATTTTTTTAAACATTATTAAGAAATTTACTTCTACGAATCCAAAAAGAATACCATAAACCTTCTGGAATCATGACAGATTGCATAGTTGATCTCTATGAAGATCAAGTAACCATATAAAGTTGCCTCAAAATCTCGATTGAAAGACATTGAATTTAGTTTTGAGAAGACTGTTTTTCATTTTGAGAATTATTAATTAGCATATAATTATAATCATATTGTATGAAGTTATCAATTCTCTTAAATTTTGAAAGCTTAAGAAATTTAAAAGCACAAACAAATATATATTATTAAAATCATGGTATTGATCAATTTGAAAAATTTTGAAATTTTGAATACGAATTTTAATGTAAACTTTAATAGTTGTAACAGAATAGGAAACATCACAGATGGCAACTTAGATTAATGAAAAGTTGGAATTTTTTCAATAAAATTTTATTCATGAAAAAAGATGCATGAAATACAATAATAGTAATATAGATACGTTATACAACATGTTCAATAAGTGATCACTATAAGCATAATAGCTTTAAACAAAATAATCATATCAAAATTTGTATCTGTAAGCAGCAAGAGTGTTATATCCTAATATTAGGTGTAACTACTTATTATACAATGAATACAATATAATGCATTGATTAATAGGCTAAAGAAAAAAAATTATATCCTTCAATTTGGACAATCCGAAATTTTTCTTAATTAATTGAATTAAATATACATTAATTTACAATCGAGTGATATCAGCGAGAAACTTATATGCACGTTTAACTTTATCAGATTTCAAATGAAAACATGGATTTCATTGCATGTTTTTCAATACTAGCTCCAGAAAAATGATACAAAGATGAATAAATAGTAATGTCCCTAAAATAAGGTACAAAACAAAAAATTATCAACAATATACTTAATTTCGGCTATTATGATAAAAAGTGAATATGTCAAAAACATTTATTCCATCATCTTGTTATCTGTACCTCACCACGGACTAATATGAAGAGAGATCAATTTCCAAAATTTTACCAAAAAGAGATTAGGCCTAATTTTTATGGCCAATCTTTATGATTTGTTATACAGATACTAGATCTACTACTCCCCAAAACAATTCATTTTTTGAATGGCCCCCTTTTTAGGCCTTCATTTTATGAAAAATGCCAATATTATACGATTATTAATATATTTATTTTTTTGTTCTCAATAAAGGTATTCAAAAGTCAATATAAACCATTCAAAATTGAGAGGAAACTCATTGAGAGGCTCGGAATTCGAGTAGTGAGGAAGGGTAAATTTTGAGAGCCAAAATTTCAAATCCCCTTAATATTTCAAAGCCCTTCTACTTAGATTTTGTGACTACCTTAATATCAAATTACATGTCACCGACTAAATCAGGAGCTTATTAACTTCATATCGAGGAAAAAATGAAATGCGGTATTCGTAAAATTTTCGGAACTATTTTGTGATGATTTCTCTGATAATTCGATTAGCTAATTGTGTTGAAGCAACCGATAAAGTTAATATTGAATTACTGGAGCCGATGTTCGATTCATCACAAAATCGTTGGGTATTAGGAAACTCAACTTATAACGAAAATGAGTATTATATTTTCTATTCTTGTAGTACTAGAGAAGTTTGCGGCTATTATAACGAATCAATAAACAATTTATCGGAACTTGATCTACGTTTCATAAAGATAAAAAGCGATTTTTCCTTTAATAATTTTAGTTTTACATATTCATATAATAGAACATATCACTTCTCTTCGGTTTTGAATTATTCAGACATATTTGAACCAATACAATACTTTTACGGAAATGCTACCTATATAGAAAATCTAAAAGATTTTCAAAACAGTAGCTACATTACAATTGTTTCACCATACAAAAACTATAATAATATGAGACGATTATCTGACGATCTATATGGAAAAATCGGATTTGTAAATGTTATTACAACTAATTCAACAAAATCTTGCAATCTATGGAATCCATACGAAAAACGATTCTACGAATTTGCTGGAACTGAAGAAACCTTTATTTCTACACTCAATAGAAACATATATGAACGAAATTTCAAACGTTTAATGAAATACGATGAAATTGCATTAATTTTTACTAACAAGCACCCAACTAGAACAGAACTCAATATCATGCACAAAGCAATGTCAGTTTTTCCAAAACTTAGAGTTATGTTCGGAAATCAGATTATTCTTCATGATTTAAGCTACTTGGCAGTGAATTCTAGTGTTAACTTCGTCTTGCTATATCCATCGCATGCTCTTTTCTCTGTAATTCAAAAGAAAGATTATTCCAGATTATTAAAACTAGCAGAAAGGCAAATTAAAGATGAAATTAAGCGTGCACGAGCCATGATGAACGAATCTTATATACAATCAAATGAAACAACTCAAAAACTAAAACAAAAAATTGATTGTTCAGGAAGGAATCCATTTACAGTTCCAGCTCAACTATATTATGGACCTCCACTGACTGACAGGCAATTTGACAGATCCAGATGCTTTATTAAACAAAATTTGGAAGGAGATAATTTTTCTCAGCCGTTTTATGTCGTTGGATCTAATAATACATGGTTTAACTTAATCTTACCAACAAACATATCGAGAAGAGTTTCACAAGATGAATTTTGGAATAAATTCTCAAATTTGACTTATAATTTGACAGAGCATATACCATGGAATGAATTTGGTCCTGGAATGCCACATTACAAAGAAATTTTGTTCGACCACGAAGGAAATCAAATCAATAAGACTTTTAAGATTAATTTACTTAATTCCACGGACAAATATTTCCATGGTGGAGCAGATAGAGCCAATTTCAAAGATTTAACTGAGTCAATTCAGAAACAATTGAAATATAAATACATTTATAAGCCAATGCATCCATTTGAGCGACTGATATTCAATTGGTTATATTCAGCATGTAATTCGACTAGCTGGTATCCTCTTTCTGTCCCTTCAAATCAAGATTCAATTTTTAATACGTTACCCGCTTACAAACATCTCAATAGCGGTAGTTTCGGATCATTCTACACAGGGGAATATGACAAATGTATATTGTTTTACGATTCTTCGGCCACAAGTGAGTTAATGCACTATTTGTTTTCAAAAGTTGCAAGTTTGGCCAACCAAACTCATTCATTCCCAGATCTTAAATTCGGAGCAATTAATGTTGATTTGAACTATGCGCAGTTTATGCCCAGAAACATTTCCGCTCCATTAGTTATGAAATCTCGAGTTCCGTTTGTTGCAGTTTTACCACAGCAATGGTATGGTTTTAAACCATTCATTGTAAATGATGCAACTAAAATAGATACAATACTATCAAAGTACCAAGGAAGACAAAGATATTCTCATCCTGTGAATGCAGCACCGTATATCTTCAATGAAACACTTTGGAATCCAATTTACTACAATTTGCTTCTTAAAAAGTTTAAATTTTTATCAAAGAAACATACATTTGAGAAATCTCCAAGCGGAAAGTCATGGATTACAAATGAAGTGTTTTATTGGAGTCTGCAGTTTTACAGACAAAAATATTTTTGGTTTTAAAACTTTCTGTCATTCTTTCAATTTTTTTTTTACATCCAATCTTTCTATCCCGATTTTCTAGGGTCAAAAGTTAATATTTTTGGTCGGGAAAAAGTAACTATAAATCATGAAATTGTGCTTAATATGGCCGCTATACTTTTCTGCTATATTTTTTGAAGAGTATGTCAGAAAGTGGTAAGTGAACTCTCAAGTCGACAAAAAAAAAGTGCACCCACTTGTATAAAGTTATTATTTGGTAAAACAATAATTGGAAAATGTGAAGGGAAAAAAGTATGTTGAAGAGATATATAAAAAAAAAAGTGGGGCCTCCAGGCACTTCGTGCCCTCTAGCCCTGAAGATGTTTAGTATAACTTTGTCCGGACAAGTAAGGGTCTATCGTCGCTACAGGAAAAGTTACGGGCGTTCCAAGGAAGTATACTTTGAGAAGACTTTCCCCCTTATAGAATGAGATAGGACGGTTATTTTACAAAACTGACAACACTTTGACCGAGTAGTTTTTTGAGCTGAACAAAAAGTGTCATATAAACATCTGTCAAAAACCGCTTTTTAACTTCACTTAAAATGCCACGTAAGCTACGTAAGAATATACGTAAGAGGAAGAGAGCATTGAAACATCCAATAGTAAAACTGACACCACAACAACAGTTGCAACAACAAATGCTGAATGACCCCACTATGTTGCAACAAATGTCAAGCAACCCTATGCTCTTAAACCGAGTTCTTGGTGCACAGAGTGGAGGTTTAAGAGCGGCACTTTTAGCGAAAATGGCAGGCTATGGTGGAGCTGCAGACGGAACAGCTTATAACCCTCAAAGTCAAATGAATTTGAGTTCACTCAAAAATCAAATATCAGATGTCAAAAAGTCAAACATAGACATACAGAAGCAAATAAGTGAAAACGAAAAGAAACTAGAATATGACAGACACACAAAGAAACTCAATGAGTTAAACGTAGAGAAAAAGAAGAAAGAAGAACAACTGAAAGAACTAAGTACAGAGGAATATGCGAAAAAAGTGTCAGAAAAAGCAGCAGAAGTAGCAAAAATGGAACAAGATGTCATAAATTTGAAAAACCATACTACTCAATATAAAGTACTGAAAGATGAAGAGATAAAACAAAAAGCCCTGAAGACATATATGGATAGCGATGAGTATAAAAAAGAAGTTGAAGCAAATGTAAAGGCAGAAAAACTTTTACAGTTGCAAAACCAAACCGTACAGTATGAAAACTTAGCACAAGAAAGTAAAAATAACGACGCAGCCATGCAAAAGGCAATGAAAAGCGCAGAATATATAAAAGCTAACAATGACTGGTTAGATGCCCAAGCCAACGCTAAAGCAGCCCAGCTTATAGGGTCAATAAGGACAAAAATACAAGCGGATGAAGACAGTTCAAATGAAGCTTTAACAAATGCTGACTTTAAGAACGCCTTCGAAGCTCTTCATAGTAAGGTGAAACAAGTGAACGACTTCTCATCTGGAAAGAAACTGAAGTCTGAAGGTTTCGACAAAGAGTTAAGAGAAGTAGCACAAAATCTGACGAAAATAACAGATGCAACAACGAGACAGGCAGTTCAAAGTGCCTATGACGCCGTTAGAGCAACTGTTGTGGAAAGTCAAGAAAAAGAGTTACAACAGACCAAAACAGACCTAGTAAATGCTTTCTTAAAAACGAAAAGTCAGGTAGGACATTATGCTGCAGATGGAACATATGTGCCAGCTGGTGGAACTTATATACTAGCTAGTGGAACTTATATACCACCAAACCCTCCAAGAGAAGCACCTGCACCAGGACTACCTAAAACATTTACATCGTCACATGGACACAGACACAGGCATGCACCACAACAACAACCAAAACCAACAGTTCAAAATCCAGCACAACAACAACCAAAACCAACACAACAACCAACAGTTCAAAATCCAGCACAACAACAACCAACACAACAACCAGCACCACAACAACAACCAGCACAACAACCACCTCCACAACCAGCACAGCAACCAACAGTTCAAAACCCTGCACAACAACAACCACAAACAGAGCAAGGACATAAAAGAAGTAGAGAACAAGGAAACCAAGATTTCTTAAAAATGCTTAAAGAAGACTATGGTTACCCAGATACTCTTGACTTTAGTGACAGATATAAAGAAGCTATTAGAAAGTTCAAGGAAGGAAATACTGACCCGAACCTATTTAGCTTTATGGCTCAGCACCAAATGGGATATAATTTCAAACCTGGAAAATACAAGCTCGCTAAGGGATATGATTTAATAGCATATCATCCAAATGACATGACTGAATTTACTCCGAGATATTTGGTGTCAGAGCTAAATGACAATTCAACTCTCTTCATGAAACGCGTAAAAAATAAAGACGGAACGAAAGAAGAAAGGTTTATGAGTCCGGATGACTTAGATAGGGAACTTGTTAAAAACGGTCTCGGAATATATGAAATGCCAGCAGATGAGGTACAAGAAACTCCACAGGAAGAAGTTCAGATACAACCAGACATGGAAGAAATAGTTCAGCAACAACAGCTAGAAGAGCCTGAAGGAAACGAACAAGTCCCTCCTTTGGAAACTAACTTCACAGAACTAGATGAAGATTTGGAACAGCCGAAAAATCTTGACCCTCAACAAGAGTATGAGGTGAATATGGAATCTTTCCAAGAGTCTAAGAAAAATTCGGCTGACATAGTAGAAGAATATCGAAAAATGTTTGCCGACATACAAAAGACTCCAACACCAGATGAAAATATTCAGCATAGAATGGAAGAACTGAAAGAAAATGTACACAAATACAACAACCCTTTTTACTTACGACCATATAACATTCAATCTTTGGCTGAACTCGGTGAAAATAAAAGGTTAAATTTCAACAAAACATATAGAAATGAAACATTGTTTAAAGTTCATTCAGAACCTAACCAATATGGAAACAAACTACTTTTGTTTCTGCAGACTATGGAACTACAATGAGATGGGTCATAAAGCTAACCCGGATAGGTGGTTCATAAACTTACAACCACAATCCAAGAAGTTGTAGACGCAATGGAAATGAATGGTGAACCAGATTAGCTGGTATTTTCAGCGCGGCTTTAATGCCATTGAAAGATATGAAAGATGCAGATATTTTGAACCAGTATGAAATGAACATGGCTGATGGAAATATAACACCTGACGTTCTAAAACATTTATCTCAAAGAACTACACAGAACCATAGAGATGGTATATTTGGTGAAGAGTTTAGAAAGAGAGTTAGGAGAGAGAAGGAAAGAACCTATTGTACATGACCTTGCAAACGAAAGTTTACAAAATGTCATAAAAACTTACTTTGCAGACGATGAAATGAGAAGGGATGAATATTTAAGAAAACTCAAATGGACAGTACCAAATGAAATGTTAGTATTGAAAAACATGTTCCTTGACAAAATAAAACCAACTACAGAAATAAATGACGCAAGACTGAAACGTTGGGTAAAAGCTTTCCCATTCACAAAAGATATTGTTGGTAACATGGAAAGAAAACCAGAATGGCTACAAAAACATATATTTGGAAACGAGCTTATTCCATATGGACAAGCTCTGTTTGAAGAGCTTGAACCGGAAACTCAGGAAAGAGTCATGCAAACAATACGCGAAGACTCAAATACAAACTATGACAAACTCTTTCTAGGATATAGGTTACCTGAGATGGGCGACCAGAGCCCAAAGGCAAAAAGGACATGGGAAATTTACAACATACTAGGTGAACATGAGGCAAAGATGCAACAACTTAAAGCAGAGGGCAAGTTACCAAAGAAGAAGAGAAGAGTAGAACAAAGTGAAAGTAGTGAAGAACAAAGTGAAAGTAGTGGCAATGAAGGAAAAAGAAGAGTTAAAAACTCAGTCAGGAAGAAAGTAAAGCTTGGTCCACGTGGGTTCTATTATGACACATAAATCCAACTATTCTATATTTTTACCCATATGAAATGTACGCCGCTCAGAATATAACGCCAACAGTTTGGATGCCATGAACGGAAATGTTTCCGAATGGTATAACGAATGCGACAATGCCATTAGAAGGTCAGAAATAGTTCCTGGAACTTACGAATATACAACTGCTGTTTCTTATGGAAACGTAGGTGAGTTTGGAGAAGGTTCTTCAACAACAGTAGATATTGCTTGCGACAGGTTTCATATAATTTCTATTGACAACTCATTCTTATACGTGGAACAAGACATTGAAATAAAACCTTCTGCCAAGTTGTCTGACAAGAAAGGTTGCAATGGTATTTTCTATGTCGGATACCAATATGCTCCAGAAGTTTTCATGGGATATAAGATATATTCTAACTCTGACTTAGTTCAAACAGTAACATGGGCAAACTATGAATGGTTCGCTTTGAGAAACTCAGTACAACCACAAGCTAGAGAACAAACAGACCAGTATGCAACTATTGAGAAAATAAGAAGACTTGACCCTAACGTTCCAGGAGTTTATGTTGACCTTTCTGGACAAACTGCAGCAGCAGTAACCAAAGTAAAACTGAAACTTAGAGTTCCTTTGTCATCTTTCCTCATCTTCAGGTTTTTAAGATACTTGCCAAACTGGGCAGGAAAAATTTCTATTGAACTTACTCCAAGCAAAAATAACTTAGTCATTGCACCAACGCAAGACCCATTCACTCTTACAGACGTAAAGGGAGCAAATCAAACGTCATTCGCCGAATTTTGCAAAGACAAAGTTGACTTAGACTTTGGTTTCTCAAACCTCAACACTGAAGTAAAGTATTATTTCAATGCTGCTGGAACTGCTTGGGACCCAGTTAGGTTTACATGCGAACAGTTTGAATGCAAGAGAATAGAAAGCAGACTTGCAGTCTATATGTTGGACCCAGATATTTCAAATGCTTTAGCTGCCAAATATATTGCAGTTCCACTTATGTTCCCTATACACCAAATATCTGTCAAAGACTTTGCAGGTGAAGTTGGAAACCAAAATCCAGGAACCGCAGGTGCAAGAACAGATATTGCTTTAACAACTGCAATGAAACACGCAGATACTATGTTTGTACTGTTCAGACGAACTATAAATGACTATTCTTGTTTCTACAACCCCGGTATTAAATATCATATAACATAGATGGCAAATATTATCCAAGAGAAGAATATTCTACAGTTGAGGATATGAGGTCATACAACTTGACATTAGATGCTATGAACTTTAACAACAACTTCACAACAACCATTAACCCTGAAATGCAAAGTTCTATTATGCCATATGTGAAAGTATGGACTCATACAGGAAGTCAAAAACTCAATATACAAATGGAGACCGTTCAAACTTTGGCTTGGCATTCCATTTGCTGACTCAGAAGACTTTATGGGTGTATTTCAACTGTTGGTACTGTACAAATACAATATACTGGTGACAGAGACGGTCCATATGAACTGAGAGCAAAGAAGTTTACAAAACCAATAGCACTTTTCACGGAAGATGCTCTTTTGAAGATTCGTTCGATGAAACCTGCTGGGGCTCCTCAGATTGGCATAACGACAGCTTCCATCGAGCAGATTTTGGCAGCAGGTCAGTAAGTTGTTCTTGAACTGACTTCTCACCATCGTAAATAGTTATGACACCTGTTTTGACATAAAATTGTATTATAAACTTACCTTTAGAAATATCTGTAAGTTTTGTTGTTATATTTTTGTCTGCTTCAAGAACTTTCACCATTTCAGTTATACCAACTTTCTTTGCTTTATGAAAATATTTTGGTTCAGCAAAGACTGCTATTCTATAACATTTTCCATTGTTTGTATAAAGAACTATTCTGTCAATGTATTTGTATTGTTTGTGTGTGTAAACTTTGTTCTGCTTCAATTCGAAGAGATACTCAAATACGTCCATCTTTTTATTCTAAGTAAAATGTCATTTCCGAAAAATAGAAGCGTAAGTGTTTCAAAAGGTTTAATGGCGGTGGCAGATGTGAAGTTAAATTCACCAACTCAAACAAACAGTCAAAGTGTTGTTGTCAATGTCAAAGAAAGAGATGTTGAAGTGGGGAAACCATACGAAGACGAAGATGGTATAACAATTGTTTCTGTAAAAGAACAACCAACATATCCTGAAGTTAGCAGAGATTAAGTTCTGTTGCAGATATTCGAAACGACTACCAACAACTGAAAAACAAACTTCAAACTCAGGAGAAGATTTGTCAAGCTTTAGGTATAATGTTAAACTTGGTCGAACACAACCCTGTAAAAGTGAACTCATATGTCATTGCACCTCATGAAGTTTTGAAAGAACTATTGAAACTTTTGACAGAGGCAGACGATATAAACATCAAAGAAATAGAACCCGACGTTAGTTGCTGTGGTGTTTCATATAATGTCATTGACAAGATATACGTTATGAAAGGAGGTGAAACGTTGAACTTAAAATATAGTTTCCCAGACGTTATAAAAATATTTGACGACCACAACATTTCATTAAAATTTATTTGCTAAGTAAAAATGTCAAAACTTCTTGAAAGATGTTTGAAGAAAAATAATATAGACTTTATTTCATGTAAAGGACTTTACACACTTTTGAACGATATGAAAGACCCTGTTTTGTTTGTTCGTGTAGACAAAGGAAAGTTCTATGTCTTTACAAAATATTTGAACTTCTTAGACAGAGAACTTCAAGAAACGCCATGTGAAAGTTTAGATGAAGTTCTTTCTCCACTTTCAGAAAAACTTTTAAATATATGTAAATGGCAGAAGACATAGTGGTTTATACTATTACGACTAAAAACCCTGAGTCATATAATTCTATAACAACAAACTTACAAAGTCCTCAAGGACGATATTGTAAACTAACTTTAAACACAATGACGACTAAAGCTTGTTTTGCTCTTTTGACACCAGAAGATTTTATTGTTGTGAATGGTAAAAAATACTCCTTTGAAGATACTTACTCAGATATACCACCAACAGGTTTTGTTGACTTATTTAATACTTTAAGGACGAGTGTAACATGTGCTGCAACTAGAGCAGGTTTCATTATGTTTGGATGTCCGACTGAGTTTACTATAAACAATATGAGCTATAATACAAAACTTATATCTGGTTTTTACTACCAACAATTTCCTATAACAGGAAAAGGTGTCATACAAGGTTTGTCTGTTCCATTGACTTTAAGTACACCTATTTTATATATTGTTTCAAACTTAGGTTCAAAGTGCTATTCGAATGTCGACAGAAACTACTATGACCAAAAGATACTTATGCGTATAAACAACACTTTCTCTGCTGGTTTGCCTATTGTTCATTCGAATGCAGAGTTTTCAGCTTTAGTAAACTCAAACACTTTAGCAAACATAAACTTAACCTTAGTTGACGCAAACTTTGTTCCTGTAAAACTTTTATGTCCTATGTATTTGTCAATGACGGCAGAAAGTTTCGAATTGGAAGATGCAACTGGTGAAAGTATTGTATTACAAGAACAACTTCAACAACAAATAGCTCAAGAACAACTTCAACAACAAATAGCTCAAGAACAACAAATGCAACAAATAGCTCAAGAACAAAGTCAAGAATAAAAAAAAATATTTTTTTTATTTTTATAAAAATGTACAGAATAGATGTTCAGATTTTTATGACTTCCAAGCGTTCAGAAATATGTGTCCATTTCGAGACTATAACAAAAGCAGTCGAGAATTTGAACGTTTAGTCATTTATGTCGACTCTGCCCAGAATGTTATGTTATGAAAGAATGGGATGTAGTCTTTAACAAACCTAAAGCGACAATAGTTTCAGAACAAGAATGTAAACAGAAACTTAAGAAAATAAAAGTCGTACAATTGGCATGAAGATGTTAGATGCTTGGGATATCTTATTGTCAAAACTTGAAGATTTTTTCAGTTCGTGGTATAAAGTTTTATACACCTTCTCCAAACTTCTATTCTATCTTCACTGGATATAAATACGAACAAGTAAATGGAAAGAAAATGTTATAGAAGCTTGGTTAGACCATGTCAAAGAAAATTATATGCAATGGAAACGAAAGAGTCTATGAGTATATCTTATGTTGGTTTGCAAAACATCTTACAACATCCAAGTGCTAAAAATGAAAACTGCTCTCATTTATAATTGGAAAAACAAGGAACTGGTAAGACACATTCTTTACAGATATTTTGTGCAAACTGTTAGAAGGTTATTCGAATCCGAATATGACAAACTTAGAAAACATCTGCGGTAAATTTAACTCTTCAATAGAGAATATGAAACTTATATATATGTAACGAACTTCAAAGTATAGATACAACAAAAGTTTTGAACTCAGATGCTTTGAAGAGTCTTATAACAGACAAAGTTGGAGTTGTTGAAAGAAAGTATAAAGACCAAAGAGTTTGTTGAAAATGTTGCAAATTTCATTATGGTTTCAAACAATGCTGTTCCGATGAAGTTAGAAAGTTCTGACAGAAGTATGTAGTTGTCAGAACGTCAGAAGCTCATATGCAAGATACAGAATATTTTGACGACTTAGCAGAAACTTTGACATCTGACTTTTACAACCACTTTCTCATATTTTATGAACATTAGATATTCTAAGTTCAATCCAAGACAAATTCCACATACAGAAGAGAGACAAACATTGTTAGAAGCAAACAAGAGTGTATATGAACTGTTCATAGATGAAACTGACTTTGAGTGTTTAGATGAAAGGTCATTGTACGATTCGTATAAACAATATTGTCAAGAATATGGTTATATGACAGCGTCTAAACGAACATTCTTGGCAAATGTCAAAAAGTCTTTTAGATGTTCAGAATGGTGTATATACAAAGAAAAATTTTTCTGAGTAAATTTTAAAAAAAATATTTTTTTATCCGATAGAAAAGATGACAAAATTCATCTCAGTAAACAAGTACATGTCAGGACTTAAAGAAGAACTAGACCCATTCACATATTTGAATGTTACTTCTACCATTTTGAAAAGTCTTCATTCAGCAAAGTTTGGAACATCGAACAGTTAAGTTTGCTATTGTGACTAAAAATGGTGCGAAATTTGAAGACTTAGACATAGAAGGTTTGTTAGCAGTCAAAGAAAGTTTGACAGAAGGTTCTCAAAACTCGAAGAAGGTAAAGCATACAAACTTTTTATACCTTATGAACAAAGAAAGCAGACGACTATGAATATTATGAGTCTAAAGTTGTAGAAGTTCAAGGTAAATTGGGTAAAAAGATTTAGAGTCTAAGCCAGTGTTTGCTCCTAAAGAGGAAGAGAACATTGACATTGACCCAGAAATGTTCTAAAAATAAAATTTTATTTTTACATGTCATATCTCCCCTTCTCTGGTTCAGGTCTTTCTTTCTCTTCTTCTACTTTCTTTCTTTCTTTTCTCTCTTCTTCTTTTCTGGTGGAGTTATGTCAAACTTCTCAGAACCATATTTTTGTAAAAGTTCTTTGTCTTTAATAGCCTCTTCTATTCTGTTTTCTATTTCATCTTCAAGAACAGTGCATGTGTCTTCTTTGCATTCTAAGAAGTTTTGTTGGACTTCATCTCTCCAAGAGGCGTCATCTCTGTCAACAAGTCTGTCATTGACAAATTTTAAGACTTCTCTGCTTAATGTTTTTATGGTTTTTGTCATATTCCAGAAAACAGAACTTTAGAACAAATTCACCTTTCTTGTTTACACTATGTAAGATTTTATGGTCGACAGATGTTTGCTGTCGAAAAGCTTGTCTCGAATATAGATGGCGAAATCACTAGACATTTTCTAAAAGATAAAAATTTTAATTTTTCTAAAAATATGTTAGAAAAAAGTTTGCTGACATTGACAAAAAATTTGAGAATGTTTTAAATAAGAACAAGAGGAAGTTGAAAATGCTCAGAAAAACCCATACATGACAAGTTCTTATTTGCTCAGAATGGTATAACAGGTCTAATTGCACCACCTGGGTCGGGTAAGACTTTCACTTATCTTAAAATGGCTGCACAACAACAAGAACTAGATGAGAAGAACCCATTCTATGAGTTAGTTGTTTATTTGTAGTACTTCTGGTCAATTTGACCAAACCGTCAATTCGTTCAAAGATATTATAAAGAAGTCTAAGTTAGTATGTATAAAAGACTCTGAGTTGTTAGATTGGATAAAGAAGTACCAAAGAAGAGTTTTGAAGTACAATGCTATAAATGAGTATATAAATTCTAAGTTTAAAGACCCAAATGAGGAAATGCAGAGAATATTAGAGAAGAAACACTTCAGAAACAAACAGAAAGAGATAGAATACATTTCGAAGAAATTGCAATCTTACGATTGGAAGACTTACCCTCATAGATGTCTTCTTATCTTAGATGATTTCGCCTCTCATCCTTTGTTAAAGAACAGAGAACAAGACATGTGTCGAATTCTTAAGAAGCTCAGACACTTTAACATCTCAGTTGTCATTTGTGTACAGACAGCAAAGAGTTTAAGTAAGGATGTAAAGAGAATACTTACTGACATTGTACTTTTCCCCGGATTGTCCGAAGACGATTTCATGGAACTTATGAAAGAGTCCATGGCAGGTAAGTTTGACAGACATGAACTATGGGAGAAGTACAAAGTCATACAAGACCCTCATACTTCTTTCAGAATTCATATCTACGCAAACAAAGTTCAAATTGTAAAAAGTCAAGCGTAAAAAATGTAAGTGTTTAGTCTTAGTCTGTTGTGGTGCTGCAGCTTTCGGTTCTTCTGGCTTTGGAATGGACTCGGTTGGTGGTACGTCGGACATTCGTTTGTGTCCTGTCGGAAGGAAGAACTTTTCCTGTTGGAAGGAAGGACTCGGAATGTCGGAAGGAAATTTTTTTCCAGTTGTCGGGAAATTTTTTTCCTGTCTGAAGGAAAAATTTTTTCTGTCGTTCGACCAAAAAGTTCTCAATTTTCGAAAATTTGAATGGTTTACGGACGAACAACAGGAAAATTTTTTCCAGTTGTCGGGAATTTTTTTTCCAGTTGTCGGGAAATTTTTTTCCAGTTGTCGGGAAGGACTTGGAATGTCGGAAGGAAGAACTTGGAATGTCGGAAGGAAGAACTTGGAATGTCGGAAGGAAGAACTTGGAATGCCAGAAGGATTTGACAAGACAATTTACCATCTAGAGCTACCTGAGCCATCTGAAGTCAAGCTTGAAAAATAAATGGTTCATTTACTCTACTTGTTTGAAGTTGTCAAAATACTCTGTTATTTTTTCCTTTAACAATGGCAAATCTTCTTTGAAGGTAAGTATTGTACAACCTTTAATATCATAGTGTGTTTGAGGTAAAGTATCTTGAACTATTTGTTTCACATCTTCATTTGGTGTCATTGAAATCGGTAAGTTTTCGCGATAGAACCAATTTCTGTCAGATTTGTAAATCTTAGCAAGGTCGTAAAAGCTTTTGTTGTTTCTTCTGACTAAATGCAACATAACCATATCTCTGTCTTCTTCATTTTCCATCTCTTCAGTATAAATCATATACTTATAGTTCTTTTCCTTTCCTTTTGGTACCGAACGTGGTATTCTTTTCTGAAGGCTTTTGTCTTTTGCTTCAAGCTTGTTCTCTAGCTCTTCACGTTCTTGTCTATGAATTTCGTCAAGAAGTTTGTAAACATGCCATGCATAACGAGGAGAAGCCCATATTGCAACAGCATTTACTAAAAGTCTATGAACATACCAGCCTCTTAAATTTATTGGCAAATTTTTACGATTTTCATGTGTTTTATGCAAGACCGAAAAAAGTCGGTCTAGAGAAATTTCACTCAAAAGTTCTTGTGTGCTTTGGTTTCTGAACCAGTCGTCTGCGTGTTTAGTATCTGGTGCAAAACATGCTGTCAAAATACTTTGCATTTGGTACATATCGTCTTTGACCGAACGAATGAGACGTAACTGTTTGTTATACTGAACCCACTCATATTCTTCATTTATAGCTTCATGAACGATAGCAGTTGTTGTGTTCTCTGTTGTTGTCATATCTGTTCTTACATACAAAATAAAAAAAATATTTTTTTAAAAATTAGCGTTATTTTCTGACTTTCACAAAAGACCAAAAATAAACGCTTTACATGTATTTTTCAGCAACTTCGTCAAATAATTTTATAGCTTTACCTATCTCATCTACTTCAAACGTTTCTTTACCTTTCGTGGGAGCACCATACATTTTCTCAAACTTTTCAAGTAGTTCTGTTTCAGCAGCTCTCATATCGTTAACAAACACAACCTTAACTCTATTGACTATACTGTCATATCTTTTAGTTATATTATATGTTCTTCCTATCTTATATCTCTTTGTATTGAAGTCCTTCGGTTTCTGAACGATGTAAAGTAAGCCTTCACTGCAACGTTCAGTATCGAATGAACCATATGTTATGAAGTTATATCCAACAACTGGGTCTAACCATAACAAAACTATTGGTATAAGACTTTTGTCGATGAGATATGCTGTAGTTCCATAGAATCTTACCGATATCATAAGCTCAGGATTTCTTGTCAAAATTTTCTGAGTAGAAGCAGTTCTAACCCAGTCGTGGGATGTTTTCTTTCCAGATAGTGTTAGAATGTCTGACAAAGAATATTTCTTGTATTTCTTTGAGTATCTTACGTTTAAATCACCAATTCTAACCATTTTGGTGTCATTGTCTATCTTTTTAACTGTTTCAAACTCAGTGTTTGTCATTTTCTGTTTCTTACATACAAAATAAAAAAATTTTTTTTTAAAAAACTAACTTTATTTTTTCTATCTTGTATCTTAAGGAAATTCACGATTTTCATGTGTTTTAGGCGACCAGGTTTTTTTCCCTACTCGCAATTTTTTACGATTTTCGTATGGAATCTCGTTCCTCGGTTTTCCTCGGGTCGCAAACATATGAGGAAATTCATGAAATTTGGTCATTTTTTCACGATTTTCGTATGGAATCTCTATCCTCGGTTTTCCGAGGGAAGCAAACATATGAGGAAATTCATGAAATTTGGTCATTTTTTCACGATTTTCATGAGTTTTAGGCGACCAGGTTTTTTTCCCTACTCGCAATTTTTTACGATTTTCATGTATAAAAGATACGATTTCAGGGATTTTTTTACGAAGTGTTAAAGTTCTCTTCGTAAAAAAATAACAGTTATATAATGAAATTTGGTCATTTTTTTCACGATTTCAGGGATTTTTTTACGAAGTGTTAAAGTTCTCTTCGTAAAAAAATAACAGTTATATAATGAAATTTGGTCATTTTTTTTACGATTTTCATGAGTTTTAGGCGACCCCGGAAAAAGTCTGGGTCGCAATTTTTTACGATTTTCATGTATAAAAGATATGATTTCAGGGATTTTTTTGACGAAGTGTCAAAGTTCTCTTCGTAAAAAAATACAGTTATATAATGAAATTTGGTCATTTTACTCAGACAAAAATATATTTTAGGTGTCACCAGGTCCCTCGGTCCCTCGGTCCCTCGGTCAACTAACATCTTTTTGAAAATGGTGACAACATGACATTTTGACAACAACACAGGAAATAAACTTCTTCGTATATGTTTCACAAGCGTTTTACATGGTATATGTTGTGATGGTTCATGACTTTAAACAGTTTTGTAGCTTCTATTTCTTCACGAAGGATATCAAAAGTTTTAACAATGCCGAAGGTTTCTTTATATTTCTTCTTGACGTCAGATAGAAGGAAATCGTCAGCTGTTGGATAGTTTTTGTTCAGAAATGTCAACATGTCCATTTTATCTTCTGCTGGTTTCTCTGCTTCTTTCTTTAAGTCAGCATAGTCGTTTCTCATACGTTCTATCTCTTTGACGGAGTAGTTATATTTCTTCATTGCTGCTTTACATTTAGAACATTGCGGGTTCATTTTAGCATTGTACATTGAAACCTTACCTGCTAAAACAACTAAGGCGTAAATGGTTTTCTTTAACTCAAAAGTTGCGGGTTTTATCTGTTCATTCCATACTTTACCTCTTCTATCTTTATCTCTTATCTGCCATACACATTTTGCAACTAACGAAACAAAGTTGTCGTAGGTCTTAAACTCCCCAGATTTATATATGTCAATGAAATATACCATATCGCAATCTTTGTGGTTGCAATGAAATCCAAGAAACTCATAGTTTACCTTTCGTATGAACTTCTTTATTTCAACTGAGTCAGTTGCTTTGACTTCAATTTCATCGAATTCAGGAATAGTGAGCTTTTGTTGTTGTATTTCAGGAAGTTTAGGTAGATGTTCCACCAGGTCCTGCATTTCATAAAGATACTGTTCATTTGTTTCATCTTTCGCACTACAGTCTAAATCTCCTTGGAGAAGTTCTTGCTTTATCTTCTGGATTTCTGTTTCGAAAGTATATGAAGAAGGAATGAAGCTTTTCATCTCTACTAACATAGATGTTGGGTTCATGACTAAAGAGTTTGGTGCTGTTGTTGCTAACATGTTCTTACAATAAAAATAAAAAATATTTTTTTAAAAAAACTAACTTTATTTTTTATGTTTTTTGTGAAAGTGTCAAAACTCATGAGTTTTGGTTGAAAAATACGGTGGAGCCAAAAGTGGCTCGACCTCAAAACAAGCATTTTGTGAAGAATATACCAACCCGCGGAATTCCGCGGGTTGCTTTTTATACAAAATTCAACGGGTGAAAGAATACGATGAAGTCATGACAAAACATTTACGATGAAGTTTATTTCCTGGACTGTTGTCTAAATGTCATGTTGTCACACTTTTTCAGAGAAGTTCGTTTAACCGAGGGACCGAGGGACCGAGGGACCTGGTGACACCTAAAAACCATCTACCCTAAAATATATTTTTGCCGAATTCAATAAAAATAAATGGTTCATTTACTCACAATATTTTTGTACAAAACGACCCCAAACTTTTAACTTCTTTTCTGCAGCTTCTAATGCTATCTTAGCGAGTTCATATTCTCTAAATTCTCTCTTTAAATCTTCTTGTTCCCATTGGTCTAGTTCGTATGGAGAATCTTTATAACCATAACACATCTCATGTTCATGTTCTATTTGTTTTTCATGCATTTTTCTAACTTCTTGTTCGAACAAAGGTTTAGCATTCTCTACTGTATCTTCGAGTTCTTCTTCATCTAATTTCTCATGAACTTTCTTGTCTATGGAGTCCATAATTTTTCCAACTGCTATACAATATTTTGGAGAAGCCCACATTGCTATATAGTTTACAAGTCTTGGGTCTACATACGTTCCTCTAACCTGTTTGATTTCATCAGGAATTCCTGCATGAATTTTGTATAAAAAGCAACCGCCGGAATTCCGCGGGTTGGTATATTCTTCACAAAATGCCTTAAAATACTCTTCCCAGGACTTATTTTCCAACAACCTTCTAAAGTCTTTCCTAAACTGCTGACACATATTTGTTGCATTTATATAACCATCCTTGTCTCTACGTAAGACTTCAATACCGTTGTAAGTGCCTTTTGTGAATGTTTCGCCATTAGATTTGTTCGTGAACGTTTTTGCTTCGACTGTCATTTCAGTTCTTACAATAAAAATAAAAAATATTTTTGGGTGGTACGTCGGACATTCGTTTGTGGCTTAACCGTCGGACATTCGTTTGTGGCTTAACCGTCGGACATTGTCTTGAAACAGTATAAGACTAGTTCTGAGATCTCACCATCTAACCTAAAATATATTTTTGCCGAAAAAAATGAGTTTTGGTTGAAAAATACGGTGGAGCCAAAAAGTGGCTCGACCTCAAAACAAGCATTTTGTGAAGAATATACCAACCGCCGGAATTCCGGCGGTTGCTTTTTATACAAAATTCAACGGGTGAAAGAATACGATGAAGAAGTCATGACAAAACATTTACGTACATGTTTGACAAAACATTTACGAAGAAGTCTTGACAAAACATTTACGATGAAGAAGTCTTGACATTTTCCTGGACTGTTGTCAAAATGTCATGTTGTCACCATTTTCAAAAAGATGTTAGTTGACCGAGTGACCGAGTGACATGGTGACACCTAAAAGTATTTTTCAATACTTTTTCAGCACTTTTCCGTAGTTATATATGAAAGACAATTCGAGATAAAAGTCATAGTACAATGGAATAATATGTTGCACACCATTTGTTGTGAACCAAACTTGAAAGTCAGAGAAACTGTTACTAGGTGGTTCGTAGAATTTAGAAGCAAAGTCATAAAAGTCCTTACCAATACATAGAAAACTATTGTTGCTTGAACTGAAACTTGCATGACACATAACATTTTGAGGGTCAAACACGTTTCTATAAACTGTCAAATCTGCTGGTGGAAGTATAAATTTAAATGGACCATCTGGTGGTAATGGTTCGTTCTGGTTTAGTAACCGAAGAAATTGTGCCCAAGAACGTTTGTCTACTTTCCAAAATAAAAACTCTGTATCTCTTGGAGGGTTAATTTCAATCTTTTGAAATGAAACGGTGGAGTTCATCTTGTCATATTCTAGTTTCAGATAGTATGTTCCATTTAGTAAAGAGTCGTATTTTTCTTGAAATTCCCAATAGTATTTGTTTATTTGAGTTTGAAAGTCATTTAGAGTTTTCTCAAGACTTTCGTCTGAACGAACTGTAAAGATTCTCATTTCATCAAATTTGTCTATTAGACCATCAGAACCTTTATACTGCCCATGAAAATATACTGCGAACATAAACGCGTTAGTTCTATTTGAAAACAAAACTCTTCTAAATCCTATTGCCTTTGCATCTGAAGGACTTTGAAGCCAACGAATTGGATAGTCAAACCTGTATGAACGGGATGAAATTTCTTCATCTGAAATAGTCCTACCAGCATTTGTAAAGATATAGTCTAACGGTTTTGTATCTGCTACTTTTGTTCTTTGTTTTTCAACCTGAAGCATTTAAT